AGACCTACCTACGGAACCAACCAACTCGCCAAACCTAACACGCCTCTTTCCAGTAAAGCCTACCGTAGGTTACGCAAGTATTTGGATTATCAAGCGACTGACTCGCCGCTGGTCCCGGTTTCAATAGAAAAACTATATAAAGTTCCGCCGTTTTTACTATGAAATTTGCTATTTTTTATACCCTTCAGAGCCGAACTACCTCTTAAAGATATTCTCACGTTTTATACATCAAGAAATTCTTTTTACGTATAATATGGATCTTACATCAGAGGCTTTTTAATACACACAGCTTCATTTAAATGAGGCTTTGAAAATCACGATTCTAATTTACACTAAAACGGTAATAATTTAGGCGTAATGCGTGATAGTGTAACAAATAAATAAATAAAAGGGCGATGCTTTAACGTTAATGCATCTAGTAAGTAATTGCATTTCTTGCATCAATGGAAAAGTTTTATAATGATCAATTCGTAGAACAGTTAGCAAAAAATAATAGATCATCGAATAATAATAATTTATATAATTTTCTTAGTGAAATTGTTAATGAATTATGTAATATTTATGAAAAAGAAAGATTGAAGGGCAAAGGTCCTAAATCAATTCTCGCCATATTTGATCAATTTCTAGTAAAAAAAACAAACCAAAATTCAGAAAATATCATCAATTGGTGCTTGAATGATCAAATTAATCCTATAACTCAAATAATTCTTGGAAGTTGTTATAGTTTAGGTAAATGGGTTAAAAAAGATGAACATAAGGCGTTCATTTATTATCAAAAATCATCAGAAATGGGTAATGCAGTTGGAGTGTCAATCGTTGGATATTGTTATGAAAAAGGTATTGGAGTTGAAAAAGATGAACATAAGGCATTCACTTATTATAAAAAATCTGCTGATATGGGTGATGCTGTTGGAACATTTAACGTTGGTTGTTGTTATCAAAATAGAGTTGGAGTTGAAAACGATGACAATAAGGCATTTATTTATTATCAAAAATCTGCTGATATGGGTTATGCTAGTGGAACATATATGGTTGGTTA